GGTCGATTTTTTGCAGGAGCATCGCAAGAGCTGGATGAATCCTAAATACAATAGCGTTTGCTACTAACTTAATAAGCGATCGTGTTGGACTTATAACAATTTTGCTTTTAGTTTAGTAATGACTTACATCAATACCAAGTACCACAGCATTACTCGCACAAGAACAGTGGCATCACAAATGATTCCAGTAACATATTTCACTTATTTTTCACTTTGATTTGGGGCTTTTTTGACATTCTTGCGATCCAAATGCTGGCAAAGCAGTCAGAACATTGCAAAAGCAACTTGCGCCTTTCCGATGTCGGTAATTCTGTGAAAATTGACGACGTGAACGTTGAACTTATGGAGCAGATCATAACTCTGAGCTTTAAGAAAAATTAGGGCTGTTTGTGAAATTGGCTTCGTTGAAGTCGCTAGGGATCATTTGGAATGTTGGCATCTCGTCCAGACAAGACTTATCCAAACCGGTCAAATCACCGTCACTTCTGATGTAGGATGCAATTATTTTTGATGCACAAGTGTCCCCTGATAGATATCTCAATTGGAGATGTGTACTTAAGAACATTGGGCTACTACCAGTTTGGAAGGTAATGAGCTCTTTATGTTTACTGATGAGGGATTCAAATAGGCTTTTGGCGTACTTGATCGGCGAAAACATATCCATCTTGCTACTCATCACTAGAACACTGGCCTGACTAGGAATTGTCACACTCGCATTCCAGTACCGATCGCGCTTATAATTGATTCCGCGAGCTCCATACTTGCCAAAACTGTACCTATCACACACCTTTGATTGCTCTTTTGAAAAAGCACAGTACAATTTAACATCGGCATATATACCCCAACCCCCGACAGTGTCCGTAAAGCGCTTTTTTAATTCCGCTACTGAAGGCGTCGGTCTTTCCCACAATTCCGAGTAAATGATGAGGAAGTACAGCATCTCGGAGCTCTGCCCGCTAGAATCCAAATTTTTTAAGAGACCTTGATTTAACAAATTGTCAATGAAGCTCGTCAAGACGTCCACATCATGGGGTTGGCAGCGCTTGAGGCGGTACACAAGCTGAGGAATTGTCATGTACGACCATGGAGATATCACCAGAGAGGATATAAGTTTTCGCAATTTGTGGGAGGCTGGCCACTTTTGATTCATAATGTTCATGGTGTTTATTATTTCAAAGCACGCTGAACCCGGTTGATCGTCGAAAGCGGTCAAAACATCTTGAAATACAGCAATTAATGTATCCGGTTCTTTAAAGTGGGAGCTGCAGACACGGTCGTGATCGCAGCGTTCCATTAAAGTTCTTGCCACTTCGTCAACGATATCATCGAAATCTGTAAAATAATTATATACTCCCGTTGTACTCACTGGCGAATCTAGAATATATCCAGTAACTTCAGGAGGGGCGAGATGCATGAGACGTTCCACCATTATCGCTTCGTAATCCGAACCATACACAAAAGTGCGGGCGCCATTTGAAAGCTTGGAGATCAAATTGAAGAGGTCATGCGCCGCACTTGTAGGCGAAAATGCCGCGAGATCTCCAAACTTGGATTCTAGATCTATAGCACATGACT